CTCTGTTGTAAATAAAGTTGAGCAAGGGCTAGAGCAAGCTAGAACTGGACTTTGTCCAGTCAAATTTAAACTACCCTGTGATCCTGATACTAAAATTGAATAAAATCTACTCTCTGTTAAATCTGAGTTTATTGATAGTAGAAAAACTGCTCTACATTGGGAGAAAGGAGTGTGGCACTTGAAATGATTAAATGCAGGATAACTAGGAGTACCTTGAACCTTGGAAATCATTAGGAAAAATCATGATCAAGGCAGTTGCCTGAGAGAAGAGGCAAAAACTGGCTTGGCATAAGTGTATTATAGTGGCTCAAGTGAATTTTTTAATGCTGCAGCATGTAGGCAGTTGCACAGACAGAAGTTTTCTTCCGTGGCCATGGACTACTGGAGGTCAGAACAAACCATTGCCATGGCACTGTGACAGTGACACAGGGCTGAGTGATGCACTCTAAGAACTTGAGCAAACCACTTCTCCTGGGTTTTGGTCACAAATGCCWAAGGCATTACAATTTCAAATAGTGGAACTTTTAAAGGTCAAGTATCTGCAAGAACTAAAGTATTTACCACTGGTTCAATTGCTGCAGTGAGCACAGATCAGTGAAACTGAAGGGATGATATTGAGTGCTGAAGAGTGTTTACTTTAGCATTCACTCTGCCAAACACCAAAGCACTTGATTTACATCTTCTACCTATAGGATGTTTTTAAAAGTACCTAAAGAAGAATGCATGCATTTTGCAGTTTGAGAAAGGTAGAAGGCTGTGGAGAAATATTTTTTTAATATTTTCAAGTAGCTGTTAGTCATAAATGTCAGGTGAACTTGAACTCCAGAGGCAGTGCTGGAGCAGATGAATATATTATCAGGGAATATTGGTGTAAGGACACGTGAAGGTGACATTGAGGACTTTCTAACTCCGAGAGTTACAATATTGGTTTGCCATTGAAAGAAGACAACTGAGCATGGCAGGAGTCATGGAGCCATGATAGGGGAAAGGAGAGCACTAGGCTGGAGTTCCTAATCGTCAACCCATTGCAAATACATTGACCGTCTCTGTGGTAAGGCAGGAACAAACTGCCTTAAACAATGTATTAATGTTGTAGATTTGTGTGCTGTTGCTRGATGTGAGGTACCACAGTGACCTGCTGTAGGGTGTGTGGAAGCTTTGCCACATGGGGCAGTCACAGCCTCTGTCCTCACAGTTTTGCTCTCCCTCTAATAGCACAGAAAATGAATAGGAGGGATTCAGGAGAAGCAGTTGAAAAAATAACTCACTTGTGAAAGATTTAATGAACTAAATTTATTTGCATATCCCRGTGAAAATGAATTTTAGTTAAGGATACCACATACAAGGGGAATAATGTTCWAGTAGGTGATGGCTTTTCAATCTAGTTGAGAAAGCAATCACAAAATGTTCTGGCAGTCAATGTGACAACAGACATACTGGGAATGAAACCTGGCAACACAGTCATTGCTGTGTCCTGAGTTAACTTAGCCATGGGAACAACCTACTTAAGGATGTGGTGACTAATCTGCCATTATGCAAAATCAGGGGGAAAAAATCTAATTTAATCCGACATTCTTAAATGGATCCTGAAAAGTATTGGGGTCAAGACCATGCAGAAAGTGAATAAAAACCATTTCAAAGTAAAATGTAGTTGTGATGTACATGGGTTACTGTTTGTTTCTGAAGTACAGTGGCACTGCATGGTTTTTGTTTTCCCCTGGAGTCAGCTCAGTTAGTAATTATTGTTGCTAAATCTGACRTGTATTCTGCATTGCTATGGAAAATGGAAAGATTTTGTAGAATAGTGATGAGTACTGTAGTTGTCAGGTTTTCTTTTCCCTCTGCTAAGTGGTAGGTGTCTATATTTCATCTTATCAGCTTTTGGGTCTGCACTTACCAGATTGCTCCTCAATTCAAGAAAAGAGGGTCCTGTCCACTCTTTTATAATATCACTAGATRATGTAGACAAGACAGGACAAGTCTTTGCTGAGAGGAGATGAGATGAGATTAGATACTGTTTTGTGCTTTCCAAAAAGGACCATACTTGCTTCTAATTTTATCTTCGTCTAGACTGTGCTTCCAATGGCAACAGCTCAGCACTGAGCACTTTGCAGCAGGTGCTGGGATGAAATTATTTTCAGGAATGGAGTTACCAAACACAGTGYGTTTTTATGATCCACAAAGAGAGAAGTCTGGCGAGTGATTTCTTGGGATYCTCACTGAAACTGACAGTTGCAAATTTGCTGTCCAAGAAAGACCAAAATGTCCCAGATTGTAAGAATTCAGACTTTTAAAATGTCTTCCTTTCCCCCAACAGTTCTGGAATTTGCACTTGTGTTAGGTGGAAATAAAAATTTCAGAGGCACTTGTGCAGAATATTACTAAAGCAAGGCTTAGTTGCTTCACTCYTTCCCTTTTGATTTTTCTCTTGGCTAGAGCTCAGGCAAAACTCTCTTTCGGAGGRCAAGCCCAGTTTTTGTTTCAGTCACAGTGCCAGTTTTTACTAAGACAGAAATCCAGATCATCTGTTACACTGCAGATGGCACAAAACCAGTAACAGGTACAACGGGGACAGAGATCACCAGCACTGCTGGGGATGGGATCTTCTGCTTGAGCAGTGGGAAGGGCTGAGCAGGGGATGKGTTTTCAGTGCTCCCCTCTGCATGGCAGGCTGAGCCATGCAGTATTGCAAAATCTAAAGAGTGGATCAGTGACTTTTTGAGAAGAACTTGTAAAATTGTAAAACACAGAAAAATGGAAATGCAAGAAATAACAAAGTCTAGAGCACAGAACCTGATACCAATGTTTTCTCTATAGTTTTTCAAAACCACATTTTTACAAGACTCATTGTGGATAGTAGAAATAGATAGTAGAAAAAAACAAAAAAGTTTTCTGCAGGAGAAGTGATGAAAGTTTTGTCAATTTGGGTACAATAAAACCCTGGAAGCTGAGGGAAGAGAGGATTGTCCTGATTGAGTGAAGTTAGGATCATGAAATGATATCCATATTTTCTGGAGGTTCTATCAGAAATTACTTCTCTGATTTTTACTCTTTTCAAGGCTTAATTAATCTACATTATATTTGTATGTGGCCTTCCTTTTTTTTTTTTTATTTTTGACAGCATAAACCTACATTTCTGCTGTGCCAAGTAGATTATTAGTTTGTATGTACTACCTGGACAAATGAATAATTCAATAGTGTAGCTACAAAAGGCTCCTAGAGAAGTAGGACAAATCAACCTTTACTCCCATTACCTACAATCAGGTGATGTTGCTAAAATTAAAAATCCTTTTGGGCAGGTTTGACCCACTGATGCAGTAAGACACAACCTGGATATCCAGCATGGAAGAGTGTGTGCCCTTTGCATGCTGTGAAAAGGTTTTTCCCCTCATTTTACATTAATGAAAYAGAAGCAGTAAAATGAAGACTTCTTCATCTGTGATAGGAGTCTAATAATTTTTCCCATATCTTCATACACATTTTAACTTGGGTTGTGTGTGCTGTTGGGGGCTGCCTCCTTTTTTTATGTGATTTTATTTTTTTTTTAATGGAAGTTTTTTTAGCTAATCCTTCTTTATAAAAGAAAGCACCTTCAATCACAGCTCATTTAAGCTTTCATCGTTGGAGATGTTCTGAAATACACAAAATCAATATGTAATATGTGGAAGATTTGCCTGTGGTGAAAGGTCAAGAAAAAGAATTTTTCTCCTGGCTATTGACATAAACACTTGGAGGTGAAATATTTTTCAAGGTATTTTGTGTCACACTTGAAGTCCCAYTGTGTGAAATAATAATCAATAAAGAGCGCCATGATAATCATTTCATTCCGTCTGTATCAATGCTTATGAACAGTACTGATAAATCTCCCTTTGGCTGCTGCAGGGTTGGTTAGCCATGGTTATGAAACAGAATGATTTATTCTACAAGCATTTTCYTTTTCAATCTAAAATTATAATGATGAAAGTACTTCTTAATTTAAAGTAGAAAGAGAAAGATATAATGCATTTGTTCCAACTGATAAGACTCAGTGGAGAAATATATAAGTTGCAAAGTTTGCTCTAAGCAAAAATAATCTCACAGGTATTTTTTTTCACCTGTGAGAAAGCTCATGTCAGGAATTTACTCTGCTTGAGAAACTTTGCTTCTCTGAAGAACGTGATGAGATCAGAGATACATACTAATTGTGGAATAAATCTAAAAAAAGGTTATGAAGTGTAGAGAACTCCAATGAGCTTTGGAAAGAAATGAAGGTTTTAAAAAGTGCTGSGAGGTGAATGTAGTGGCAAAGTGTTCACATTTGTGGAGAGGCTGAAGGACTCTGCAAAAAAGCTTTGCTGTGTTCTGCAAAGAAGGATCTCAAAAAATCCCTCCCAGATCTTACAGTGTCCGTAGTTCATTCTGAGACTTGCATGCATTTTACATACTGGAAATCAAAATAAATTCACTAAACTGCTGTGATTTTTTACTTATTTCTTAAAAACTGCAGGAAACTGTACAGTGCTCTGAAGTGCAGGGGTTAATGTGACACTGTTAGTGTGATGTTGGCTGTTAAARCCATAATAATGTGGCTGTGGTCCTGTAAATACAATGGAGTACTTGCATTAGGAATTGACGTGATGTTGTTTCCTTATTGAAAATTGTGTAATGGAAAATTACTGATGAAGAGTCCTCTGAGAAATCCTTTATTTTTTTCTTTACAATATCCTGAGCTTTCTTGTRTAATTGAATTTAGTCTTTTACCTTTAGATGTCATTTCTGTAAAGAAATTTATCTTTACAAATGGTTCTAGGCAGTTGTCATAGAATCTTACCATAATTAGGGTTGGAAGGAACCTTTGAAAGTCATCTCTAAACTGGAAAAGAGTAAGCAAAGATAAAAATCATGTGGAAAATTATGTTTGAAATGTACCATTTTAAAGCAAAAAGCTTTAAATTTTACTCACATATTTTGATATCTGCATCTTAGGACATGAATTTMTTTTATTCTGCTTTATTTTGTAGATATTTCTGAAAACCAAGTTGAGAACTGAGCTCATGGTGCTGGCAGCAGCTGTGGTGCTGAGGATTGAAATGGCCTCTGAAAACCCACTTAGAATGTCTTGGCCTGGCAAGGTAAGAACTGAAATGATTTTTTTTAAAAATCGCTTTTCTTTCTTTAGCTGATTCTAAAGAATAAAAGCATGATGGGATAAAGGCACTCCATAGGAGAAGGATGGTAGAATCCCAGTCAGTGGTGAYTGACAGAGATGGTGAATGGGTATAACCAAYRTTTGGGTTTTGCWGCAGCAGCAGCAGCTCATCCTTTTAGCTGCAGATACATCTGGGAAGCCAAATGATGGCCCAGCTCTGACACCATCACTTTGTGTTTGTGACTGAAACTGGGGGGAAAAAGAAATCTCTGTTTTATTTAGGGCTAAAATGGGACTTAAACCTCCCTCAGTGCCCTTTTACAGAAGGCAGCATGGATTCACTGAAATACAAAGTTTTGTGGTTTTTTTTTTTTTTTTT